TGCAAATAAAAATTAGAGTAGTTGTAGCATAGAGATCGGAAGAGTTTCATTTTGTAGAGCAACGTTTCGTCTATCTTTTGACAGGTTAGGGTACAAAATTCAACCTTTTATTTCAGAGCTCAAACTGCTAAAAATAAAGGCGTTTGAGAGTGACGAAAAAATGCTCGATACGTTCATGTATCAATTGATACATTGATTCGTGACGTTTGGAACTTTTTGACGGCATTTTCAAAAATATTTTCCGTTCCGAGAAATTTTAAAATGAAAAATAGAGAAATAAGGATAGAGAACTTACTGATAAGAAACTATAGCAGATTAAAATACCATCAAAAACTGATGTCGCGATGATAGTGGTTGCAATTATCAGCAGTAGAGATCTGTGTGACCACGATTTTTGGTTACAGTCGCGAAAATTTTCCAAATTCAAACATGGCCATGTTACGGTCACGAGAACTTTTCGAATTTACTATTGCGATCACATTAATAAAGCTTGTGAATAAGCTTTTTTTAACACTAACATAGACAAAATTGGCTACAGCTCATTAATTAGTCGAGTATTTTTGGCAAAAAGTTGGAAACTTTTCAGAAAAAAACTTCAATTTTTGGATAATTTTGGTTTTGCTAAAGTCATGATCACGATCATGCATGACCATGGCTGTGGCCACTTTGCAAATCTCTAATCAGCAACTATCTGCGGTATCGACAACGGTGCGGCTAATGTTTCTTCCAAATTTTACGGTCATCAGCTACGGTGGCGGCTAAAAATCCGTGTACATCTCCAAATACGAGTTCCGATATTTGCTTTTGAATATTCACTGTAATATTTTACAATGAATAACTTTTTCGATCAGGAACAAACATTGAAAGTGCAGAGTAAATGTAAAAGCTCAAAACATATCACTAATTCTGCTCATTTACAATAAAAAAAATGTCGAATATTGTCCTATCTAAAAGGATATTTGATTAAACTGAAAATATAAATTTAAATATATATATTTCAAGATTTGAAATAATCATTTAAATCTTTTCAGATAAAATTAATTTATTTTTAGAAGATATTCAGTTAACTTCTATAAACAAGATATCTATATTTTTTCGTCCTATTTAAAAGATTGTTCTATTATGATTTACAACCATTGAAAAGTATAGAACTCAAATGATTTAAGATCATTATAAAATAGAACATATTTTATACTGTTTCTATTAGTTCTGAGGAAAAGAAAAATCTATTATACATACGAGTTGAACGACGATAACAAAATCCAAATTGAAGTTCTGTAACATTTACAAATTGAATATGATTTAATTTTTCTTGTTCTATGTCGAATGATGTTTTCGGCGGTGGCTGATTTGCCAATGTCATATTCTACAAAAGAAAAATTATTTATTTATTTTTAATGAATCTTATCTAACTTTAAATTAATATAACAATTGAATGACAAGAAATTCAGTTGAATCTTAATATAGACTTTTTTGCTTCTACATACGAATATAATGCGTATTTTATTTTCGAACATTAATAAAACTTCATTTGAATACATTCAATCAAATAATGAGACATCAAAAATAGAACGATCACTATATAATCATTCAGTTCGATTTGATATTCACTAGATTGATAGAGATCAAGTCAGAAGCTCAGATACAAACAATTTATGATAGGAAAAATATTCATCTACGTATCGATAATTATAACATTTTTATGGGTGTGTCTCTACTCAAGTCCCAGGTGAAAAAATCTTACGAAATCGTACAAATGTCTTACTGTAAGATTTAATATGTATCTTACTATAAGATTCTTGAAGAGTCTGACGATCCGAATCTTGTAACATCGTATAAGATCATATAGTTTTAAGTTTGTCTCATGTAAATAGTTTTTATAACCAGATTTTTATGCATTTAAACAAATGCTTGAGCAGTTAAGTATATGATAATTGGAGTAAAGATATCCCACCATTCATCAAATTCAGTTGACCAATGAACTATGTTCAACAACATGATCAAGGGTAACTGTGATATTTAACGGGTGAGTTATAAAGAATGAGGATCTCAATGTTTTCTTATTTATCTTCTTCAGCTTTCATAGTTTTGGACTGAGTTTTGTTCAGAAGATCCAGCTTTTAATTCTCTAAAAAAATCATATAGAAATGAATGGATGTCACGAGAATGAAGATAAAAAATTTACTGTAGTAATATTACGAACATGCGATATCAACAATTTTCAAAAGCACTTTTAACTGGCGCGTCAGCATGAATTACTTGTTCAGTATTTCCTCAATATCACATTCGATTTTCATAGTTTTAGATCTCTTTTTTTTCCAAAAGATTCAACGTTCGATCCTCTACAAAACCATACAAGGATAAGTGTCACATATAGATAAAAGTAAGCAGAATAGTTATTATTTTCATACTATGAATTCACAGCATCAACAAATTTCGAGTATGAAAAACAGTTTCCTTGTTTTGATGTACTCGTACATCGACTTGTGTAGGCAAATTTTGAAAAATGAACTATCTGTTTTGTAATGCTTCAAAAAGTATTTCTTCCTAGTGCGCTAAAGAATTTTTATAACGGAACTTTATTTCATAAAAAAGCGTCAAATAGATGTCACTTATATTAAGTTTAGAAAAATCAGGGTTTTGTCATAACTTGAAAAAAAGTCGCGTCTATTCAATGCTTATTTGTATAATAGAAGGGGATCGTAGACTGGCGCCAGGGGACGAATCGCAATGCAATGAAGTGAGAAATTCAACTGTAAACTATATTGGAAAGTTTTGCAAAATTATATATGAAGAGTATAAGATCTTACAATAAGATCATACAAGAATCGCACACTACGATTTTATCATCAATGGTGGCTTTGGGATTGACAGATGAAACCGTACAAGATCGTAGGCGATTATCACACGATCTTGTATAACGGGTTGTCCACGTAACGCGTCAACTCTAATACCAAGAGCATCGCGTAACGTTAATGTGACCAAAGTTTCACTACTAATAAAAGACCTTTTTCAAGAAAGCATTTCTCACATTAATATTCCGAAGTGTTTTCTACAAATCTATTATGAAATATATTGATCAGGATAATATACATTTTGAGAAAACAAGGAAGAAATCTAACACCCTCAAAATTTTTGTCCGATGTTCATCATCACGTAACGCTGCATATTTTTGGTATGATTTTCAGAATGGTTAGCTATAATTACTTTTTTTAACTAAATGAACGAAAAATGAAGTTGCATATGAACAAAACTTTGAACTTGATCAACTACTGATATCTACGAGCAAAAGAATACTCAGAATTTGAAGAGTTTACAAATTTTCATTGAAAAGAAATACCTGATTTAAAGAGTTAAAAATTCTACAGATTTCAGTGAACTTGAGAATACTCATGAGATTAATCAGACTTCAAAAACTATTTTAAGACTTAAAAGGATGCCAGCAGATTTTTGAAAAACTTTATTATATAGGATCAAGATTTGATCATATCGTGTGAAACCTTGAAACTGAAATCTTCACTATTTATCTCTCGAATATTCATTGAAGATTATCATTTGTAGTCTTTTCTTGCTCGTAGATTTGGCGAAAATCATTGAGAAAATTATCGGAAAAAAATAAGTTTACCTATATAAAATATGATAGAAGTGACATAGGGCATAGTTCATTGAATTATTCGAGAAATGAATGCCGAGATGAATTATAAACGATTGTAATGGGTCGAATATTTGATAAACCATATTTGATATAATGATAATTACTAAAGAAAAAGGAGCTAATTTAATGAAAACTTTTCATAAGTAAAATCTGTTACAATAAATTCTCATAAGAATGATATTGATCAAGAATAGACGATAAAAGATATTGATATGAGTTACTTTTTATTATAAAAACATTTAACATTTGTCCATTGATGATAAATAAAAAAGAATTTATTATTTTTTCGATATCATCTAATGATAATTGCCGTTTTACACGAATATAAAAACGAAAACCTTTTAAATTATTTATTTTATCAGGTTAGCAATATTGATGAATAAAATTTGCATCAATAAAAGATTTCAATATCAATTAATCCGATTCCGATGGTTGTTGAATATATAAATGAATTTCAAGTCTTTTAATATGATTAACATTGTTAAAAAGCCATTTTAAAAAACTAAAGTTCTTTTTACCCGGAAGTATCTAGAAACTTGACTTTTTGGCGAAAAACTTTTAATTTGTGTCGCCCTCTTTAATTCTCACTATTATTGTGGTTAGTTTTGAACGCAATGGCAAGGCTATAGTGAAACTATTTGAACGTTCATACGTATCCGTATCAGTTCCTCTGGAAACAAGCCTCTTTCAAGATGGATTTTAAGTAAAATGAGAGTTCCAGGCAATGAGCTTCTTATAATAATGTTAGATTTTCAATCCTTGACCATATTATATAAATTACTGTAGTAACAAACAAAGTATCGTACGAATTACGTAAAGACAATACTTGTAAATATTCACTGTAGCGACCAATCGCGTTGCAAATTACTGCGCTTGCCATTTAGTTCAACGCGGTTTATGACACCGCGACTAACCGCGTTGCAGATTACCGGGGTTTCATCAAGTTCATCGCGGTTTATGATACCGCGGTTTTTCTTGCAAAAAATCTTTTCAGTATGGAAAAGACTTCATATCACATTTATGAAGATATACTCCAAACCTAATCAAAGATCGCCAAGGTACTCAAAATTTCAAGCACAGAATGTGTTGGATATCGTAAGCAGAATCTCTTCAGCACGTTTCATGAAGACGCGACTTACACTACCGCGTTCATACACATGATCACCGCGTTCCATAAAACCGCGACTTATTCTACCGCGGTTACGCCCATGATCACCGCGTTTTCATGAAACCGCGACTAACCGCGGTTCATAATAACGCGGTGCCAGGGAGGCTCACCGCGTTTTTTCTAGGACATCGCGGTCCATCATGGGAAAACCGCATTAACAATAAAATCCCGCGGTTGATCGCGATGTTTTCGAAATTTTTTTCCGTGGGTAGTCTCAATTATACGACCCATCAATAGTTTTATATACACCCTATAGCTTTATTACATATAGTTATAAGCGGAAAGGTTATTTCCAATTTTGAATTTCATCGTAAGGTATGAATCATACCTTGATTCTTTCTCTGTTCTCTCATGCCTTCGTAATTTCAGCACATGGCATAAAACATGAAAATATTTCTCACTTGTGCAAGACCAACCTATTTAGTGCTTCAACCTTCACTTTCCTATCAGCAAAAACAAAATCGTTTACTGTCATCCTCTTCAAGTTTCTCTTACAATTTCATTTTTCTTTACTAAAACTCGATCTTGGGTCACATGATGGCTTCAACTACCAAATTTCAATCTCCTGTTATACCAAGAGATTCTGATGGGTTCGTCAAATCTTTCACGTTGTCAAGCTACAACTGTCCTGAAGCTAC